ACACTGCCACGCAGACACTGTCACGCAGACACTGTCAGTGTCACGCAGACACTGTCAGTGTCACGCAGACACTGTCACGCAGACACTGTCAGTGTCACGCAGACACTGTCACGCAGACACTGTCAGTGTCACGCAGACACTGCCACGCAGACACTGCCACGCAGACACTGTCAGTGTCACGCAGACACTGTCACGCAGACACTGTCAGTGTCATGCATACACTGCCACGCAGACACTGTCACGCAGACACTGTCAGTGTCACGCAGACACTGCCACGCAGACACTGTCACGCATACACTGTCATCAGTTTCAGTGCCTTCAATTATACAGCTTCTTTGGCAACTTTGGTGAAAATTCATTTACACTCCAGTCCAAAACATGACACTTGAGAAATCCTTCTTTGAATCAACCAGCAAAGAGCTAAATAAGTTTCAGACATCACTTGTAAACACTACACACAGACACATTGGTGGTTGGGTTAACAACAGAAAACACACTGCTGTGCGACTCACAAAGCTCCAGTGTATCCAGGCGAGCAAGTACATTCTCCAGTTACTGGGTGACAGGAGGCTCCGTTCTGGCACTGGCATTTCTGTTGGCAGCCATTTCCATAGGTCCCCAGCTCACAGGGAGCCTCACAGCGCCACCCTCTGTATCCAGGAGTGCAAATACAGGCTCCAGTGATGGGGTTGCACAGAGCTCCGTTCTGGCACTGACACCTGTTGCTGCAGTGGGGGCCCCAGTGGCGACTGTCACAAGCTGGGGGGAAACAGAGGACACCATCAAGATCTGTTCTCCTTTGAACACATCACACCTCCAGATACCAGAGGACAGTTCTGACTGTTTGCCAAGCATCCAGAAGCAAACGGAACCATGTGATCCACGGAACAGACTTGACTGTACAGGAGGAACTGTGGGACAGAGGGGGGGTCTTTCTATTGGTCTGAGCCACTGGGCCAGCACGGTAGTGTGAACATGAATGGAAGCTGACTGACTTACTGAGTGGAACTGGAGGAGTTTTTCTATCCATAGAGATTTAGAATTTAGCTTCTATCACACATGAAGAAACTTCACTGAGGATTTTCTTTTAATTCAAAGGATTCACACACTGCAAGCAGTGAAAAGAATAGAAAATGGAGGATTCCATGCACAATCCCCCATGGCTCCACAGGAAGCAGCAGGAAAGAAGATGGAGAAGAAAAATGTCACAGGGCAAAGTAAAGACTCAGACTGGATGAGAAGAGATGCTGGCAGTGCTAGATGAAGGAAATCTGTTGACAGTGGCTGACATCAGACAGAAAGCTGGTGCCTGACAGCCGTCCTGCTCTGTGGCCTCTGGACTGAAGCTGTGTGAATTTAGTCTGTTAAATGGCTGCTTTTCTCCTCCTGAATTGAGGAGGAAGAATACCTTACCCTCCAGGAGGAGGACCTGTCTTTGGACTCGGCCCAACTTAGAACAACACCTCAGAATTTTTGTTTTATTACATCAATTAGTTCAAGCTAAAACGGGCTGAATTTCCATTATTCCAGACAGAAGGCTTTATGCAGCTATGCAGCTCAGGACAAAGTGCCTTTGGCCCTTACTGGCTCTGGTGGTGTCTTCTCAGTTAAAGGAGATGATTCTGTTGTTATTTTAGGTTATATGAATTAAATGGAATTTAATTTAATCTTCAACTACAACAATGGGACAATAAGTAAACCATGGGGTCTTGAAATGTGAGGCGAGCCCAGGAAACCAGTCTGTGGTGCAGAAATCTGTTAGATGTTATGGCTGTGGAGCTGGAGGTCAGGCTAACCAGACTGTGGCTGCAGCTCTAACTGAGAAGGAAAAGCATAGCAATATACCTTTTACATGTGCATTTAATAAACCCAACTTCTGATATTTTCAGAGAAAACAGACTAACTCGTGGTAGGTGAGGTGTAGAGGGGAGGGAATCTCCACAGACTGTCCTAAACTTTGGGCTAAAGTCTGAGTGGACGACATGGCTGGAACAAAAGAGGCTAATACGATGTGTGACAGTGGCATGTCCAGGATTAGACCGCTTCCTGTCAACAGGCACCGTGTCAGCCGGCATTAAGTGAGAGCTGGGAGGATTCAGAGGCGTGCACATGCTCCAGTCATGTCTAGCTGAAATACAGAACGGAAGAAAAGGAGTCCTGTTTGATATCTATGGTGTTTTGTCTTCAGCTCTCTGATGAAGTGTCTCATTTCAGACACTACTTTAGGTTTGGAAAGTTCAACGGCTTTCATTTGTAAACAATTGGTCAGTTGATCCGGGAGCAGATGTAAAGGATCTACTGAGGTGTCCTCTAACACACAGAGTCCATCCCTCCAGCAGGCTGCTCTCACAAAGACGGCTTTGAAGAGAGCAAACATGGCTGCTGGTAGCTCTCCACCAGGGGACCAACTCTGCAAACACAACTGGGCAGGACCATCTCACAGAACAATCACTTCCTAATCTTACATAAAGGGACTCCACATAATGAAGGTCTACATCAAAGTCAGAGGAAAGTGAGAGAAACCTTCCAGAGACCCCGTAACGTTGTGGAGACAGCTCAGATCAGGCTGTGAGCCATGACGTGTAAATGGCTCCCTGCTGGCCGGTGCTGTTCACTCAGCCTATGTCTGTGTTTGACTCCTTTCAGAAAGCCGGTCCTCGTCAGTCAGCCTGGGCTGCACCTCTGCTCAGTGGATCCACACAATGAAATGGTGTTCTTAGTCCTCACTGGGACCCCAGTACGTCTTAGAAACTTAATTAGGAAGGAACTCAAGACTCAGACTGAAAGAAGATTGAAATTCTTAAACTTCTAAGCAGATAAACTCTAACTGGGTTGAAGTAAAATCAAGTAGATGTTGGTTTTCTTCGCTTGTTAACTACTTTCTCCATCATCAGTAATAGATATTAACAATCTGCAGGACTGCAAAGAGGAACTACTGTGTAAGGTTTATCATTTGTAGTTTTTGTTTGAGGAAAATAAGAAAAAAGGTTTTCAATCTTAATTCTATGTGAGTTCTTTTGGTACTGGGCCAATGCTCAGGGGTCATTCTAATAGGAAAGTCATCCAAACAACCCAGCATAAGCAGCTCCTCCAGCCTTTACATGATCCTCAACACTCAGTACAAGCTGTTACAGTGGGATCCTGCAGTCCATCCAGAGCTCTGTGGCTTCCAATGAAAGGCTGAAAAGTCAGCATTCTGTCTCCTTCTAGCTCCAGTTAGGTCAAAAACCGCACACATTAATGTCTTAGTACTGCTAAAATGCTAAAATGCTAACAGTTCCAACACGCACAGCTGTTCTGGAAGCTTTAATGTGACATCTCACACCCTCATCCATGCTAACAAAACACTCTCCTCTTTGTGTAGTTTTATGTTTTACTTCAAACTCAGAAAGGTACAAAACACTTCTAAGATCCAAAAAGAAGAAGGAAACATTTGAACTAATGGGTGCATGTAGCTAAAACCATCCAGAGCTGATGTGCAGATGACCAGTCACCTGCTGCTATTCTGAAATTCTTCAGCTGATTATGGGCCTTCTTTTATTCCTCCATCAGCTTCCCTCAGCTCTCTCTGGGCAGATAAACAAGTGCATACTTCCCTGTCCTCAGGCAGCCTGGCCTGGTTTCTACACAGCGGTGGGGGCCAAGGGGGAGGCATGGGGACAAAGAGGCAGAGGAGATTATAGATGCACATGTAAAACCTCCTGCATTCAAGTCTGCCATCCTGCTACCTTTGTGAAACCTGACCTAGATTTAAGAAAGGCCAACTCAAGGAGCTTGGGGCTCCTCATCCACTTCCTAGAGAACTGATTGTTCTCTTTCATCAGCCCATTCAAGACGGATGTGAACAAAAAAGATTGCCCTGTGCCAGAATTCAGTCCCAGAAATACACAATCGTAGTCTTTTAGCACGATTAGTGAATTTTTATTTGAATTCTTGAAAGACTCAAAATATGGAAAAGCTTCCTCACATCTCATAGAGACATTTCCAAAAGAAGAGAATTGCTCAAGAACAGAAAAAGCTCTGAAGCAGAAACTTGAGCTGCCAGTTGTTAAGAGCTGGCACAGGTCTCCCTTTCCACACTCTGGAGGGATTGGGTCTGGGATGTTTTTCTGTCCATTTAGAGATTACCCAGTCTGCCAGGAATGGTGCACTTATGGGAACCAAAAACACCACTGACACGAACCCAGAGGACTTCCAGTGTGAAGAAACATCTGTAGCATGCCATTAGTTTTCAGACCGAGCAAGAGACTGAAATGAAACTCACCACAGAGATGTCTGTAAACAGGGAAAGCCCTTCTAAAGGGACCCAGAGCCTGAATACTCTGCATATATACCTTTAAATGTTTGATTCTTGGTTTTTCCATTCTCTGTATATGATACATGTTCTGCACGATGACCACGTCAAACCCCTGAAAACACTCGGCCAATAAACAGTGGATAGTTGAGTCCTGGATGGTGGTTCTAGTGCTCTTCAGACCTGACCTCCTGGTTTGTGTTGGACTTTGGGGGACACCATCTAAACACTTCTAGGTCAGCACATCAGTGCCTTTTATCTCTTCCTTCAACCACCATCAAACATCAGAACAACATCCAAAGAGCTGCAGCTCATCTGGAGCCTCCATTCCTTCCTTGATATTCCAGGATTGGACATCAGTTTGTGTACGTTTGGTATTTAGAGCCAAGATCTGTGCAACATCCAGCACAGCCTGCTGTAGCTGAGTGCTGCTGAGCATCATAAGATCCAGAGCCCCGGGTCATTTCCTACCACATCATTAGCATCTGCTCTTCCCTGAATGCGCCAGTCCTCCCTTTCCTCTTTTTGTTACTTCAATTGATCTTCAGACATATTGTTGGAGCCCAGTGACCTATATACCAGTCAATTCATTAGACTTTAATCATGCCTGAGCAAATGGAAGACATCCATCTGAGGTTTGCTGAGCGCTGTAGTAACTGACCAAATCCAGAGTCCCAGCCCTTCAATTCCAGCAGCCACGCAGCAGCATGAACCTGAACAGCTGCCTATCGTGGAAATGACAAAGCAACAATACAATCACACACTAAAACAGTGAATCTTATATTCTGTGGGACCTTTAGTGGACAGAATGAACCCCAGCTGTTTTTCCTCAGCTTCATTCTGACTGTTCCTGTCCAGCTTCAGCTGCTCTCTCGTCCCAATGATACAAAAACTCCTCCTGATTCCTTGAATGCTTCATACTCTGCTCTAAAGAGGGAGGAAAATGCAAATCCCTTCCGATCTTTCTTTGAGATGTAATGACTCTAAAAGTTCAATGACACATCTTTGCCTCTCAGTGCCTTTCATGGATTCTGCTGGGGGAATAAATCATGTTTCAAGTCACCTTTCAATTGTTGAGATGATCTGAGTCCCAAAGAGTTCCTGTCACATTTGTTTTTTGTTTAAACGTGTTCAGGTAAGAGGCTGGCATCCAGGAAGTCTGGGAGGAGTCTGTAAGCTCCAGCTCACACACCTGATCTCCATCTGAGCACATTATGAAGCTGCTTCACCAGGAGCTTCTTCACTAGGAGCTGCTTCATAATTTTGTGTGTAGTGGCTGATCCCAGCCATTACAGGATAGTCTAGCAAGTAATCAAACCAGCAGACTCTGAAATTGCCTGTGGGAGAACATGAGAGGCTCTTTGCCAGCTTCTGGGAGACCTACAGGCCTGGTGCATTCAGGGACTCAGATTCTGGTCACCCATCCACCCTGTTGCACACTTTCCACCTTACAGAATGAGAATCACTTTACCTTTAACACACTCAAGAACTAAACACCTGACAAAACTGTCTGTATGTTTTTTGGTAACTTCTCAATCTCCATCTCTACCATCCAGGTCCTGTAACTTCAGCCCTGATACTCTGGATGAACAGACCCGTGCTCTGCCCTCAGCCTGTCAGGTGGGGGGGTTGTCGTGGCAGGAGAAGGATCAGATCAAAAAAGGCTTTATATCATAGAACCTGCTGGGTGCATTGGACCTCATCACCACCAGAGCCATAGAAAACTTCATTCAGTCTCCATCCTCTGTATTTGGGAACCTTTCCGTGTGTAGCGGCTGATCCCAGCCGGGACATTTCCAAGACAAAACCATTTATTTGGTTCCTACAATATGATATGATGTCAGAATGGATGTAAGATTCATAGCTTTTTCTTTTAGGCATTTTGTCATAGTGTCTCAATGTTTCTGATTCAGATGTCACGCTCTCTATTAAAATGTCTTGCTATAATCATCTCCTGAAGAACTTTCCCTCTTTGTCTTGCACAGACAAGCTGGGCCCAGTTGGTTCCATTTGAGCCCAAAGGCGCAGCCATAACAATGAGCTCACTTATGCCAAACAGAAGCTGAATACAGGCCACACCCTGTGGTCTCAATGCGCATATCACATTAAAGCCTGCATGAGGACACTCTGAGGCAAAGCAAATACAACCTCCCACACTCTGAGAGCAGCCAACACAGTTACACGACACAAAAACAAACGAAGCCTCTAAAAAAAGGCATCTATGATAGATGAACCAAAATCAGGCAACATCTAACTTCTACCTCCAGATAATGCAGCTGGGATTCAAATCCCTGCCTGTACACTCAGCCACTAACATGCCGCCTTTTCCCAGTGTTTATTAATCCTTTGAATCAATACAAAATCTACTATCATTTGAACATTTTTAATGTATCCTCAGATGGCTAAATGTGGAGTCTGAAGGAAAGTAGGATTGGATTTTTGACAGGGGCAACATGTGATAAGCTAAAGCTCAGGTTAAATGGAGACCAGAGGTTCATTATGTCCAGGCAGATACTGTCAGGCAGTAATGTCAGACGAGCTAAGGCAGGTTAAGGCTTAGGAGGGTCTGAGGCAAAGAGTGTGCGGACGGAGTTTGTTCAAGAAGGGGAGAAAGTTCAAAAGACAGAAGGGGGCCGAGCAGCTTAGAGGATGGATGGGACTGGAGGATGCAGGTAGATTTAGGAGGAAAGCTATTCAGTCAGTCATAGATGCAAAGACCTAGGAAAGTTTGGAGTTTTCTAATGGAAGAAGGACTGATGGCTTTTTCTGCCCAGTTCTAAACTGGGTCATAGTACGACACGGTAGGTGGTCATCTGACTTCCTCCTACATTTTAAAGTTTAAACTAGAAGGAAAACAGCTTTCTCTGTGAATGTTAGCTGATGGAAAGACAAGCTGAGGGTGTTTGAGAGCACAACATGACAAAAGCCAAGGCTCCACGCGGCGCTCTGATTGGCTGGAGGTGCTCTGATCGACTGGAGTGGCTGTGATTGGCTGGAGCTGTGTCTGGAACAGCAGCAACATGATCCCGCTCTGTTTTTCCTCTTGTGAGTTCAGAGGCTTTTCACAGGAAAGCAGTCCCACACATAGAGACGTGATTGGTCACAGACAGCAGCAGCTGGAGGACTTACCGCTGGAGCAGTTGGAGCCCCCCCACCCCGGCTCACACTGACAGGTGTTGGGTGCCATGCAGCGGCCATGGACGCAGCTCTCTGCACAGTGGGCTGGACAGAGGAAACACAGCCAGTCAGTGGAGGGACGGATCCGGACAGGAACCATCAGACTGATTCTGCCTTTGTTCAGAGCATCTGAACCACTTCCTGTCACCATCTCATCTGAAAACAGTGTCAGACACCGGCTGTCCTGCCCTAGTTTCTCTGTCAGAGCCGGTTCCACAGATCTAAACCGGTCTCTGGTGGGTTTTCAGAGCCTCATGAACCCCATGTTTCACTGGGGTGGGCTAACATTCACTCCTTCAGCTGGACCAAACTTCTTCAGATTTGAACAGAAATGGATGATTTGAAACCTTTATTAAAAAAGATAGAAAACTGACCAGTTAAACTGATGACTTGCAGAAGAGAGTCTTATATTTAGTTGTTTTAGTGTTGGGAGGGTGCTTCTGTCTTATACCGACCCTGAGCACCCTCAGACTATCAGAGCGAAGGAGCCGTGATTTAGGATGTAGAAAATGTTCTTAATCTGTTAGGTCAACACAATTTTCCAAATGGAGAGGAAAAATCTGTGTCTATAAATCGAGAGAGTACTAAAAAAAGACGTGCTCCACAGTCCCTGGCTGGCTCCGTATGCAGCGTCTCATCTCTCGTTAACGAAGCACTCCTAATCACAACGTACCAAATCTGACCTTCATGCATTTGGATTTCCCTGAATTCAGGCCCTGTCTGAAGAAAGGCCCGCCGCCTGGGGGGGGGCTGACAAATCATGCTTCCTGCTGAGCTGTGCTGACGAACGCGGAGCTTCTCAGAGCAGCATGTGACGCTGCTAGCACAACGGAGCCTTTAAGGCCGGGACAAAGTCCCGGGGCACATCCACTGTGATCCCATCTCTACCAAACCACAAGGCACTGGGCCTGTTCCAGAGGCTCCACAAAGGTAGCGCAGCCTGTCTGCTGACCCCCCCCCCCCCACCTGGCACCTCCAGGTCTGAGTGGGGGCTCGGCTTTGGGGGGACACTCACGGGCACACAGCTCCCCGTCCTCCTGGAAGCCGGGGCAGCACTGGGACTTCCTCCTGTACATGGTCTTCTCTCCTCTGCGGTAGGCTGTGCGATAGCTCACCCTGCAAACAGGCGGGGGTCAGGGCCCCAGATCCATCACCACACAGACCCATTATGGGACAGACTTACAGAGCAGACCCAGACACCAGTACTAACCCGCCTCCATGATGGGGCTGGTTCCTTACTCACTCTGGAACTTGTTCTGCCCTGCATACGTCCCTCTATGGCTGAAATACTCCCAGAGGAA